CGCCTCCGCGGGTCAACGGGTCCCCGCCCCCTCCCCCAACTCCGCCCCTCTTTCCCCCTCCCCCAGAGAGGCCCCCTCACCTGAACGCCGCTGCCGTCCCAAAAGCCGAAAGGTGCTGGCGACGGTTGGCTTCCCAGGCTCGGTCCTCGATGAGCTTCCAATGCCCCTAGGGAAAGCGAACGCCACCACTCCCTACTCTGCCTAACCCGGGCCAGGCCGTCCCCGGAGCCACCACCAATACTGCAGCCGCCATGTTGAAGCCCTACTTCCCTCCTATTCTCCCCGTCGTTCCGCCCCTTTGACGTCTGACGTCGGGGCGCCGCGCTCCACCCGCCTCGACCAATGGGAGGAGACGTTGGTGACGTAACTAATCCCATTCCAGAGGCGGAGCAACTCCTAACACCTGGAGCATTGCAATTGGAATGGATGAACCCTGCAGACCCGGTTTTAGGAGGAAAGGAAAAGGGTTGCTAGAAGGATAAGACTCGGGGTGAGAGATGCGGCCAAAGCGCGCAGCCCAAGAGTCTTGATTTGCGAAGCGCTGAAGAGAGACAGCAGTGAGTCCCACTTGAAAATTAGGACGTCTATTTTCTGTTCCTGTATCAGCGACCTGGCATAAATCATACCCTGTCTAGGCTTCACTTTCCCCGTTTAGATGAATAAACTTTAAAAGGCGACTTCTAATCTCCCTCCAGTTTTGACATTCAAACGGGTTTAAATTTAAACCAGATAATCTAATCCCAAACCTTCCTGCCGTCTGTGTTTATTGATTGTCTGGAATTAGATGTATGGAGGATTTGTAAATGAATTAAATAAGTCTTTGTTCTCTAAAGTTTCTAATAGAGGGCTGGGGGTGTAGATTGGTGAAAAACACTTGTCTTCTGTGTGTGAGGCCTTGGATTCAATTCTAATCCTAATCAATAGAAATAAAAGCATAAACAGTTAACTCTAGTAAAAGTCAGGGAGTAATCATAGTCTAACAGGTGCTACAGAGAGACTGCTAGGCAAGCTAATTACCACTGAGGTAACTTCCCCAACCTGAATTTGTTGCTTTGAAAAAATTTACTTCTGTCTAAATATGTGGCTCTGCTTTACCTGCTGAACTAAGCAGGCAAATAACCCAGAATTGGCAATTTTTTGTTCTCTGTTGAATTTGCCTCTGTTCTAAAATGCGGCAGCTAGGGTTAAAACTGCCACATCCTTCAAAGAACAAACATTATCTTGTCTGCTACTTAAATTCTGGAGAAAAACAAGGCTGGAAAAGTAAACATGGGAGGGCTGGGGGGATTTAGCTCAGTGGTTCCGCCTCCTGCCTCGCAAGCGAGAGTTAGATTCCCCAGTACCAAAAATAAATAAAAGTAAACATGGGAGTGTACACGTTCTTTACATACCCAGAGCAGAAATGTAATTATTCCAGAAAATTAAAATACAAGCACTAAAAGGAGATTGGAGGTTACATATAAATTCCTACATTTTGTAAAAACACTCATACTTAGAAGCAGAAGCAGTGGATGATGGAGGCTAGGGGATGAACTGGGATAAAACTCAGGAGAGACACCCAACTAGACTTAGACATTTTTTCGGGGTGGTACTGGGGATTGAACTCTGGCAAGGCAGGTGGCAGCACCACTGAGCTAAATCTCTGGCCTTAGAGGTACTTAATATAAGAGGGGAAATAGTGAATTATTTATGTCTTCTTTATGGATTGGAAGATTTAACATTACAATAACAAAGGAAGGAGGAGCCTGGCATGGTGGCACACCCCTGTAATCCCAGCACTCCTCTGAAGGCTGAGACCGGAGGATCGCTGTGAGTTCGAGACCAGCCTGGGATACATCCTGAGTTCCAGGGCAGTCTGAACTACATTATGAGACCCTGCCTCAAAACAAAACAAAAAAAGAGGTCTCTTACTAGCAGAAACAAGAATGACCTGGAACTGAGGGTATAACTCAATAGTACCACCTGTGTTTAGCTAAGGAGCAATAAATTCATCGGGCCAAACTGAAATTAAAAGGATGGCAACATTTTCTGGAGAGATGTCAAATATGAGTGTGGAAATCAGGAAAGAGGTAACAAATATCCATGTGTAGTATATTGGTACTTCTTGCACATTCACACATTCATTCAATAAATATTTAGCATCTGTTCTCAGTACTGGAGATACAGCAGCATATAAAACAAACTAAAAATATCCCACGCAAATGTGTTCTCATGGAGCTCACACTCTAGAGGAATGTAATAGTAATGAGTGCTAAAAGACTAAAGCAGGGAAAGAGATAGAAAATATTCATGGTTGAGCCAGGCATAGTGGTGCATGCCTGTAATCCCAGCACTTTGGGAGGCTAAGGGAAGAGTGCTGCAACCGTGAACCCAACCAGATAATTTAGCTCAACCCTATCTCAAATAAAAAAGACTGGGGATGTAGCTTAATGCAAAAGCCCAGTGTTCAGTTCCCAGTACCATCAAAAAACTATTTGTAGTTGAAATTTAGAAAATGACAAAAGAAAGCCTCACTGACAAGATAACATCTGAGTAAAGACCTGAAAGAAGTAAAGAATAGAGCCAGGAAGATATCTAGGAGAAAAAAATCCAGGCCAAAAGAACAAGTATAAAGGTCCTAAAGCAGAAGCTCACTGTCTATGTCCTAGAAACAGTGAGCAACCCAGTATGGCTAGAATGGAGTGAGCAAAGAGCAGACTAATAGGAGATGAAGTCAGAGAGATAATATGGTGCTAAATCACATACCACTGTAGGTCACTGTAAGGATTTCAACTTTTTACTCTATGATTTAAAAGGCAATGGTGACACAGGCCTATAATCCCAGCACTCCAGAGGCTTAGGCAGGAGGATAGCTGTGAGTTTGAGGCCAGCCTGAGCTACATAGTGAGTTCCAGGTCAGCCTCAGCTACATAGTGAGAGCCTGTCTCAAAAAAAACAAAACAAAACACAAAACAATAGGAGATGGAGTCTTTTGTCTATTATTTTGTTTTGAGCAGTTTCTTTTTTGTTTGTTGGTTTGGTTTGGTTTGTCTTTTGAGACAAGGTTTTACTCTATAGTTCAGGCTGGCCTGGAACTCTAGGCAGTCCTACCTCAGCCTCCCCTGTACTGGAATTGTAGGCGCATGTCACCACATCACAGCCACACACTTGGTTTTGGTGGGGGTAGGGTTGAGACAGGGTCTTGCTATGTAATAAAACTGGACTAGAACTTAATATATATCCTAGGCTGGCTCTAAACTCAATATCTTTCTACCTCAGCCTTCTAGAGAGCTGGAATTACAGGTGTGCACCACCATGACTAGAGTTTCCATAGGAGAGTTTTGAGCAGGGAAAGGATATAATCCAAATTTTCAACAGAATCACTCCAGCTACTCTAATGAGCATAAGCTAAAGAAGAAAATGAGTGGAAAAAGAAATCATTGCAGTAACTAAGGCAAGAGATGATAGTACTATAAATCAGAGCAGTATCAGTGAAAGTGATCATAAATTGGTATATTTTGAAGATAGAACCGTAAGGATTTGCTCACAGGTTGGATGTAGGTATGAGAAAATGAGAGGAACCAAGGATAATTTTCAAGGCCTTTTTTTTTTCAGTGCTAGGAATTGAACCCAGGACTTCACACTGAATTATATCTACAGGCCTTTTTATTTATTTTGGGATAGTGTCACTAAATTGATCAGGCTTGTACTTGTGATCTTTCCACCTCAGCTTCCCAGAATTGAGAGGATTACAGGCATGTGTCACCCCTTTGTCTTGACTTTCAGACTTTTTTTTTAATTTTGTTGTTTTTTTTGTTGTTTTTTTTTAGTGCTGGGGATTGACCCCAGGGCTTCACTTATTCTAAATAATTTACTCTGAGCTACACTGCTAGACTTTCTTTATTTTTTATTTTGAGACAGAATCTCAGTCACTCAGCCTAACCTGGAACTTGCAGTCCTCCTTTCTCAACCTCCAAAGTAGCTAGGTCTTCTAGCATGTGAGCCACCATCACACTTAAATTGAGAAATACCATTCCTTTTTCTTTCTTTCTTTCTTTTTTTTAAGAGGGTATTGAGGACTGAACCCAGGTCCTTCACAGTGAGAGAAATACAGTCTTTTTTTTTTGTTTTATTTTGGTACCAGGGATCGAAATTGGGACCCTGTGCTTGCAAAACAAGCAGTGAAACCACTGAGCTAAATCCCCAGCCTGAGGAATACAGTCTTATCCATTGTTGACAGCAGTATAAATTTTAGACTGAAGTAAAAAGGCAAGATACAAAATGAGGCATGTTTCTACTTTTGCAAAAAGAAAATATGTGTATAGATATTATATAGCTATGTATATATAATATGTGTTTATGCATAGAAAAATAACTGAAAAGTTATTAATCAAGTTTTCTGTTTTGGCTGTAGAGGAAATAAGACTTGGCTGGAGTAGGGTGGGCAGCAGGACCTGGAACCAAGGAAGGAGAGGAATGGGCAACCAAATAGGAAATGCAGCCACTGACAAAATGCCAGGAGAGAATTACCTTGGCTTCTCCCTTCCTGTCATTGATAGAGAAAACTTCTGCAAATAGTCTGAAATCTAAAAAATGTTAAGGAAATACAGAATAACCACTGTGTTTCACTTGTGCAATTTGCTTTGCTTTGCTCGTTTCTTAAGACCATGATACCAGAGTTTTCATGATCAGCTACAAAGCTTAAAGGAATGTAGCCCCAGTTTAAAATGTTAAAGATTAACAGATGCTGAAGGTGCTTAGTGGCATCCCCAGGGTGAGATCAGATGTTCAAATTAAGATACCTTTTAAGATGGAGGGAATGACACCAGTCCTGTTCTCCTAACCCTGACCCCACTCTCGTGGGTTAGAATAGCTAATTAGGCAAATCCTAAAGATGAACATCCTAACCACAAAGAAGGTGCTACATTTGGGTTA